CCAGCCCGTTGGGAGCGGGCCACGGGCGAGCGGGCGCCCAAGCTCAGGGCAGGTTTTCCGCGTTGACAGTGGCGTTCCCGCGTCCTCCCCGCCCCCTCGACTAGCTCTTCTCTTGCTTTTCCGCGTCATATTCCCCCTCGTCCTCCTCCTCCGCATCTTCCTCCTCCTCCATCCCATCATCGTCAGCACAATCAAAATCATCGCCAGCATCACTTCATATCATCGCTCAGGGCAGGCTTCGCGTTGACATTGGCGTTCCCGCTTGGTCCTGACGACTTGGGACGCACAGGGACATGCTGATACTACATGTCCTCCTTGGAGGCGCGCGTCCGACCCAGAGACACAGTATACCCATCTTGTCATGTACATCGTTTCCCGAGCGGTGTGGCCAGAAAGCGCCCGCCACGCCGCATATACTATAAGATTTTCCGGTGCGCGCGTCGCCCCTGGGGGGAAGGCGACGCACACATAGTGTAAGTATGCTGGGGTGACGCCGAACGAATATCTGTTGCTCGCCGAGGCGCTGGAAAACAGTCGTGGGGCCGTGCGCAAGCGGGCAGAGCGTCGTCATTGCCCAGGGGTCGCGCAGCTTTCGCGCGAAACTGGCAGAGCTTCGTCGGCGAGGGCATGTTTTGTCTTCGCCACTCTCAGCAGAAATCTGGCCGCGCGGAAGACCTTTAAACTGTGTTCTCGCCGCAGCGCCGCGCAAAGACGTTCTGGAAATACATCTCCCGTCCATGCGCGTTCCCCCACCCTCACCATACTGTTTCGAGCGGGACCGCGCGTGGGCGCGCGAGCCAGTCCCAATCAAGTTGCGCCAGAACTGGATCTCAGGCGGCGAGCGAGGGGGAGAGTGAGAAGGAGGATGCCTTCTCAGAAGGCGGCGGGCTTCTCAGAAGCCCTCTGGCCTTCTGAGAAGTGCTGTGTTTTCGGGGAGATCTTTGAAAACTTCTCAGAAGGCCGGGGGGCTTGCGAGCCTACTGAAAGGACCCACCATTTTTCGTTTCCCCCCCGGGGCTCGCCGCCGACCCATGGGAGGAAGGGGAGGGAAAGAGCGTGGTAGCGAGCAATGCCCACCGTTCACAGAACTCCGAGGTCACGATCCAGTCACACCCGTGGGCCCCTGGAGGTCTGGACGGGTCTATCCAGCTGGTTTGCTTGACTCTACCTCACCCTTCTCATCCTCCTCCTCGTCCCTCGGTTAGGTTTTTCATCACGGGTCTTTTTCTTGACGGTCCCAGGGCCCGCTGAGGGCCCCCAGAAGCAGAAAATTGCAACAAACCAAAAATTAGCCTGGCGAAAGACCAACCCAAATGCAGTTGTGAGTACCGCGATTGTGAATATCTTCTTCGGTGGCGCTCCCAATGGGGCCACCAACCGCATGAGGGGTGCGCCGAATTGCGTGGCGGGGTACATAACACGAACGAAGACGATACGTCTAACTACGAGAGAGTGAACGCGGGTGAGTCCGAGCGCGAGCGAATCCGATTGTGAATGCGTCTGCGCGCGAGTGAGTATATTTGCATGGGTGCGAGCATGGCCACGCCTGGTGAATCTATATAAGTATATACATATGTCCACATATATATATATATATATATATATATGCATATACATATACATATACATATACATATACATATACATATGCATATACATATACATATACATATACATATACATATACATATACATATACATATACATATACATATACATATACATATACATATACCTATACCTATACCTATACCTATACCTATACATATACATATACATATACATATACATATACATATACATATACATATACATATACATATACATATACATATACATACATATACACATACATACACATACGTATACATACATACATACATACATACATACATACATACATACATACATACATACATACATACATACATACATACATACATACATACATACATACATACTGATGAAGTGAGAGTCTTCGAGCGGGTATTAATGTATAGTGTTGGTCCAGCCATGCTCTTCAACAGCAAGCGTGCTTCCATAGCTTTTCGGGTCAACCGCAACGATGACGGCCTGAGGGGCCAAGTTCGCGGTGGCCATCCAGGGAGGTCACAGATGCCCTACGCGCGCTGATGGTCCCTCCTCCGCCATCGGATCCAGGCAGCGCCGCGAGCGCGTCGCCGCCAGAGCCGAGCCCCATCGTGAGCCTCGGCTGGTGGCTAGCGCCGCGGGCGCTCGGCGCCCTGGGCCTGCTCGCCGCGATGCTGGCGTGGCGCGCCGAGACGGGCCGCGGGAGCCTGGTGCGCCTCGGCCTGGGAGCCGCGCTGATGGCCGTGGCCGCCGTCTGGGTCGCCGTCCAGACGGTGCGTGGCTGGTGGCGCGCGGCCAGCGGGCATCAGGCCGAGGTGGAGGCCCTTCGCGCTCAGCTGGCGAGCCTCTCGCTGGACGGAGGCCAGGCGAGTGGCCCGGAGGCGAGGGCTGGCGCAGGCGCGCCCGAGCTGCCAGCGTGGCCAGCGCCGAGCGCTCCCCCGCCAGGTCTGGGGCAGCCAGGGGTGCCGCCAGCTCCCCCCCACAGCGTGGACCCCGCCATGGACGCGTTCCACGCCTTCGCCGCGGGGGGGGGCTGCACTGGGCCGCTGTCGTGGACTGCAGCACCGTCGGGTCCGCCAGCGCAGCCCGAGGCGGGCGCAGGCCCGTCCACGACAGCGGTCCTGCCGACGGTGCCCGGCGGAGGCCCAGGCGGAGCTGGGCTACAGGCGGCCGCAGCGGCCGCGGCATGTGCCAAGAAGGTGAAGGAGGCTCTCGTGATGCTGTATGCTGGAGCGAGCACTGACCCATGGTGGGGCCGTCGCTTCTGGAATTTCGTCCACCAGCTGGAGCAGGCTGGGGAGCTGAACCCAGGGGTACGGGCCGCCCTCGCGGCTCGAGGCTATGTGGGAGCGGAGACTTGGTCGGCCCCTGACGTGGAGTCGCTGAAGACCGTGCTGGCAGGATTCGAGAACATGGAGTCGTCCAACACGTTCGATGGCACGTTCGGAGCGCCCGCATCAGCCGCGGGAGGAGCCGAGGTGGACGCCTGGGCCCATTCGCTGCCGCCGGACTTCAAGAGGGCGGGAATGAAGATCTATCGGAATATTCGCGCAGCTGGGAGTACGAGTATCAGGCATTGGCTTCAGTCTCAGTTTTCAGGATATCGAGGAGGAGAGCAGTGGCAGTCGCTGTGGAGCACAGCGGCGACATTGGACTTCGAGCTAGGCAAATGTGGGAATGATCAGGAGCTGATGATCTGCCTCAACACGAATGATAATGTGGAGATTGGGCTGCGCCACCTGTCGGCCTACGTGTACGAGTCACGCACACACGACAAGGCTGGCGCGGCTAGACTGAGGGCAGTCACCGCCCCAGGGAGCGGGATAGACATCGCACCGGGCTGGCTCATCACGGAGGCAACGACACACAGCAAGATGGAGCACCAACGGGCTGAACGAGTGGCAGAGGAGCTACGACGACGGAGCGGCGGCAAAGGGAAGGACAAGGACAAAGGCCGTGGTCGTGGCGACAAGAGCTCGGGAGGCTGACGCCTACCGGGGCCCCTTCATCATGAGTCGCGGGGTGAAGGGGTGCGAGATGCCCGCGCAGGGCAACGACAAGTTCAGTTCGAGGAAGTTGATCGAGCCCCCCCAGGCACGCACTGCTCAGTCCTCGCTCATGGCGGGTCAGGGAGACCAGAGGGTACCGGGCTGGGGGGAGCCCCCCAGTCACGCACTGCTCAGTCTCATCCGCCGCCGAGCGAGAGGACCAGAGGGTACCGGCCTCGGGGGGGGGAAAGATGGATTGCCAAACCAGATAAGCCTAGTGAAGATGCGAAGTTCAGCTACCCTCAGAGTTTCCCTTCGATATCTGAAATGGCCTCTGTTTTCGGTGCTAGCGATGCGGTCCTACCAGTTCCACTTCTTGCACAGCCAGGTCGTGTGTCGGTGCGTTCGGGTCGGAGTAGGCAGAGACTACATCGGAAGCAGATGGTTAGGAAGGTTGCCAATCGAGTGCTCAGTGCTCTCAACTCGACCTACCTGGGCAATATGAAGCAGCAGACCACACCATGGCAGCAGAAGTTTAGCAATGAGATGATGACGAACTCTGCTGTCGGGCGGGTCCAGGCGCGGGCCATCCAGCACGCAAAGGACCAGCTCTATGTTCGCCGGCTGTTCCCAGTGACAGGCGTACAAGCGACGTGTGAGCTACTGAAGTTGGACCAGATAGGCTACAGGAGAGTGCACAAGAGAGACGTCCACACGGAGTTCATTGCCAACAGAGTGGACGAGGTGACGACGCTGAAGGTTGTCCCGCTACTCGAGGTGCTGCCGGCCGATGAGGCAGAGTACTACGAGAAGGAGGAGAACGTCGTCGAGATGGCAGGCAAGTCCATGCAGCACGTGGAGGAACTAGAGAGGCAGTATGGGTTCTTTGGGGGCCAGATGGAGCAGTGGATATCTTATTTACATCGTGATGACCTACCGCCGGGGCTGTGGGTATTTAGACCGAGGAGCGAGGTGATGACGATCAATGGAGTATCAGCGGTCTTGAAGAAGGACGGCTTTAAGTTGAGAGAGCTCATCATGGCAGTGCCCACGAACTACCTCGGGAGTGATGTGCGATGACGTGGTGAACACGGACTGGGCGGAGGAGGAGCGCTCGCTATGATGCGAGCGCCAGGCATGGAGATTCATATGGCGCGGTGTGATGAGAGCAATGCATTCTCTTCGGTTCTCTTGCCTGAGTGGATGTGGAAGTGGATGGCAACTCCTGCCATCCCAGCTGCAGCAGTCTGGTCCTTGTTACCCGTGGACATGAGGAGCAGTCTCCAGGAGTGGTCTCTAGTGTGCCCTTGCTACACCAGGCTGCCGATGGGGTTGTCTCATGCCGTTCACATCCTGATGTGCATCAACCTGGAGGCAGCGGGGAGGACGTTGGTGAGGTCGGCCGCCCTAGGAGAGCCCAAGGAGAGCCAGTGGATCGATCTTCCGGACGAAGCTGTCGTGGAGGACGTCGAGTGGGTCAAGAAGCAGGCCTTGGGACGTGCTGAGCGGCGTCAAGAGGCTGGGCTCTCCCCTGAGGCCTTCCTGGTTAAAGTCCGTGAGCTGAAGCAGGAGCGTCACCGAGTGATCATCGTGCTGCACACGTTCGCGGGCGGCCGGAGGAAGCTGGACATCCAGCACTACGTGGAGGAGTTTGCCGTCGAATATGGGGTTGCGATCTTTTTCTTTGGAGTGGATCTTGCCTTTGATCATAGGTGGGATCTGGCGGACCCCAAGCTGATCGCCATGCTGCTGGAGATGATCGAACAGGGCCTCATTGACATTATCCTTGGCGCCCCCCCCTGCGCCACGTGGAGTAGAGCGCGCTTTCACGGAGGAGGTCCTCGTCCACTCCGATTTCGGTCGGAGCCGCTGGGCAGGAGTGACCTGTCGAAGGAGGAGCGCGCGAGAGTCACGGAGGCGAACGTGCTTCTCTTCAACCTGCTCGCCTTGTGCGACGCGGAGGAGCAGCACGGGGGGGGCTACCTGTTCGAACACCCCGCGGACCCAGAGGAGGAGCCGTACCCGAGCGTCTGGGACCTGGAGGCAGTGAAGGGCATGCTGGGGCGACACGGCGTGCGTACCACCAGGATCGACCAGTGTATGTACGGGGGACCGGCCCAGAAGCCCACTACGCTGGCTTCGAACTTGGACGGCATTCAAGAGCAGGCGGTGCTGTGTGATGGGAGACACCGTCACGAGAAGGCCTACGGGAAGAACGAGCGCGGCATCTTCAGGTCGCGCCGGCTGCAGGCCTACCCGCCTGGCTTGTGCCGCATGATCGCCCTCAGTGTGGTCAGGGCGGCGCTTCGGATGCTGACCACAGGCCGGGGACCAGGAGGGTGGCTCAGGACGGGGCGGGAGAAGCCGCGTCACACCCAGTGGAGCTTCGAGAGCGAGAAGGAGGGCCTCTTCGTGCTGAACGAGCTGTACCGCCGGGGTGGCAGTGTGAGGCTGCGCCCAGGCTTCCAGGCGATCTACGTGCACGTGGACGACGGGCTCAACATAGCGGCTTGCCGAAGAGGCGGGTCGGCTGACGTGGTGAGTGAGCAGATGATGCAGAAGGTCGCCGACGCCTGGGAGCAGGCCGGCTTCGTCGTCAACGAGCGCGAGAGGATCGAGGAGGGCTCGAAGATCGTGGGCTACGAGTTGCAGAACTTTCCGCCTCGCCTGAAGCTGGCTAGCGGCAAAGCCAGCTGTTTGGAGGCGGCACTTACGTGGATCATGGAGACGCCCTGGGTGGACGTGGAGCTGCTCAGGGCTTTGGTGGGTGTGTGGCTGCGGGGGGCGCTCTTGAGGCGCGAACTCATGGCCATCCCTGCCGCAGTGTTCGACCTGCTCGAGAAGAGGCAGGGGCAAGTCGTGTGGTGGTGGGCCTCCGCCCGCCGCGAGGTGCGCGTCATGAGAGACATGATCCCGATGATGTCGTGTGTCTTGGATCTACCGGCAGCGCCCGTACTCTTTGCTTCGGATGCGGAGGGCGCCAACCGAGTTGACCACGGCGGGCACGGCATCGTCGTGACGCCCATCACCCAGAGTGAGTCAGAACAAGTCATCGGAGCGGGTACGAGAGCTGGGCATACAGTTTCCAGGCTGGACGGCACGGTCCTCCATCTGAACCGTGCTGATCGAGAGCTGCGTGGCCGCATCCCGGTGTCACGCATCCCGCGAGAGCTGCTGCAGATCCCTCAGGAGATGTGGCACGAGCTGGACGCGGGACGCTGGCGCTCGCCTGACCACATCATCTTGGGAGAAGGCCGAGCCGTGGTCAGACTTTGTCAGGCGCTCTCTCTTCTTCCAGGAGCTCATGACCACGCTATCTGCAACATGGAGGATAATGAGCCGTTGTCCTCAGCAGCAGCAAAGGGGCGTTCATCGGCCCCGCATCTCAACTACCTGCTGAGGAAGATTAGTGCACTCTCAGTGGCAACAGGCATCAAACTATACCTACCCTGGGTGGACACCGCACACCAGACAGCTGATGAGTTGTCAAGGAGGAAGCGGAGTGGCTTGGTGCGCTCGGCGGGTCGGACCTCGTCGAGTCGACCCTGACCAGGCCGCGCGGGTGACTGAGAAGACTTTAGAAGTATATCGCAGCGCTGGACTTCGGTTTTCGACCTGGGCCCTCCAGCGCGGCCTGCGTCCCAGCGGTGCTGACGAATGGGACGACCTTCTAGTTGAGTTCAAAAATGATCAGATTGAGAACCTCACTCCATCGAAATTCGTGAATACAGTTGCAGCAGTTGAGTTCTTCTTCCCTCGCATGCGGGGGAGACTGTTGTGGAGCAAGGCTGTCATTGCAGGCTGGGAAAGAAATGTTGGACGCAAACATACGGTGCCTCTCGGGAAGTTGCCTGGTAAGCTCCTCGGGGTTCACATGGCCGCCAGAGGGAACCCGCGTCTGGGCCTTGCTCTCATCGTGCAATGCCATACGGGCTTACGCCCCTCGGAGCTCTTGGGAATACTGCCGGAGGACCTCATCTTCCCTCGAGACTTGGGCGAGAACATCAACATCGCCTCGGTCTCTATCGCTCTTGGGGCTCGTACGGGGACAAAGCTCAAGAGGCCCCAGGTGGCGCGCATATTCCAGGAGGACAGGGACATCATGGAGGTGCTTGAGGAGATCACGAGGGCCACCCCAGCTGGGACTCCGCTCTTCCCCTTCAGCCTAGCCCAGTATCGTAAGACTCTCAAGGACACCGAGGGCTCGTTGGGCCTATCTATGGGTTGGGGGCCTCACAGCCCTAGAGCAGGATGGGCAAGTGACTCGAGGGCCGAAGGGCTCTCGTTTGAAGAAGTTCGGGAGAGAGGGAGGTGGATCTCGGATGGGAGTTTGCGTATCTATCTTGACATCGTCGGTGCGAGCCACATCCTCACCCAGCTAAACACGAAGGGCTTTGCGCAGCAGCTGCACTGGCTCAAGAGAGGGTGGCGCCAGTACTTTCCTGCGTTCGTCTGGGGAGCACACCTTCCTCCAGGATATGGCGCCCAAGGGCTACGTCAAGGACAAGAACACTGGGGGGTGGATCAAGGGCCCGGACTTGACGGAGGAGAACGTGCCACCACTGCCGAGCCCGCCTGGGACACCGTCCAGTTGGGCGCAGTGCGTCAGTGCTCCGCCGTCAAGGGCCACGTCGCGGACAGCATCGCCGGGGGCAGTTTCGCTCGTACTCACGCCGCCCAAGGCCAAGAGCCCGGGTACGCTGCCGCCCGCCACTGTGCTCGCAATCCCACCTCCAGAGGCAGCGGGCCAGCCGATGACAGGCAAGCTGCAGTTCTACGCACAGGCACCATGCAAGCCGCAGCAGACCAGGGCGCAAAAGGGAAGCTACCTCAAGTCGGTTGTTGGCTACAGTAAGGTGTTCCAGATTCTCTGCGGCCCGTGTTTCGTGCCTGCCATCATCCTCATGGTGCTCGTCGTCAGTTTCCCGTCGAGCCTCTTTCCTAACATGTCCAGGGGTGCCGAGGCTGCGGCGTCCCTGGTGGAGGATGTGGCAGGCGCAGGTGGTGCTGTGGCCCTCGCGGCCAGGAACCTGACTTTGGCCGTGAGTGGGGTTGCGCTATCGGTTGCAAGAAACTCTGCTACGTTTGTGGATGAAGCGTGGTCTGGGATAGATCTGCTGGGCTGCCGCTTGAACGTCACAGGCGGCCGCTTCGTCGTTGACATTGGTGCACGCTCTCGCCCCAGTATGATGAAGGAGCTCGAGCGGGGGCTGTCCGTGGTGCCAGATGACCTGGCAGTGGAGTTGTGGGGTTCCATTAACGCTGTATCTGTCAGGGCGCCAGTGGCGGCGCGGCTCTCCTCCCAGTTCAATTTCACGGAGAGCTTCTTCATCTGGGATTGGGAGGTACTGTTAGTGGACGATGAGGTGCTGGCAGTACGATATTATTTCGCTAGATTGGGATTTGAACTTCAGTGGGCTAATCCGTTGTGGGCACTCACAGGGGCCGATCCCGGAAGAGAGCTGGAGCGCATCACGACGAGAGTCAAGGATGCGATAGAGTCGGCAGTCGACGCCTCCGTGCTGCGGACACCGCTGACCGCGCAGGAGGTACTCCAGTTTCCCACCGCTCGCCCTCCCTTTTGGTTCCGTCTCGGCCGGTGGGCCCACGCGCAGTTCGATTGGTTATGGTACGCAAGCGGTGTTTGGCTCTGAGGTTCAGTGGGTTCCAAAGCCATATGAGTGGTATGATCGGATACCGGAGTTTGGCATTATCTCAGAGCGGACATGTTGTATACGTTATGGAGTTCAGATTTCCCTTGATGAATCGGATGAGGTCAAATACAAAGGAGACCCTCGGCCGAGGGAGTTTAATTGGAAGCATGCTGCGACACGTCTGAACTGTGATCGACAGGAGATATGGCTTTGGTCATTTCGTGGTCTGTTGAAAAAAGGAGTTGATTATCGAGATAATCGTGAGTGACGCTTGCTGTTGTTTCCTATTCTGCACAGGCTTCGCCTTGGCACGCCCTACCTGTACAGGCTTGGCCTACTCGTCCCTAGCTTTTCCCTTCCTTGCCCCTGACCGCCGTGGGGGCGGTGTGGGGGTTGGGTGGGTGGGTCTCCAGAGGCTTTAGGAACTCAATGCGTTTTGTACATTATGATGAAGTGAGAGTCTTCGAGCGGGTATTAATGTATAGTGTTGGTCCAGCCATGCTCTTCAACAGCAAGCGTGCTTCCATAGCTTTTCGGGCCCACCCGATCCCGCCCTTTGGAGTTCAGGGGATTTTCCCTTGATGAATCGGATGAGGTCAAATACAAAGGAGACCCTCGGCCGAGGGAGTTTAATTGGAAGCATGTTGCGACACGTCTGAACTGTGATCGACAGGAGATATGGCTTTGGTCATTTCGTGGTCTGTTGAAAAAAGGAGTTGATTATCGAGATAATCGTGAGTGACGCTTGCTGTTGTTTCCTATTCTGCACAGGCTTCGCCTTGGCACGCCCTACCTGTACAGGCTTTGCCTACTCGTCCCTAGCTTTTCCCTTCCTTGCCCCTGACCGCCGTGGGGGCGGTGTGGGGGTCGGGTGGGTGGGTCTCCAGAGGCTTTAGGAACTCAATGCGTTTTGTACATTAATACATACATACATACATACATACATACATACATACATACATACATACATACATACATACATACATACATACATACATACATACATACATACATACATACATACATACATACATACATACATACATTACATACATACATACATACATACATACATACATACATACATACATACATACATTACATACATACA